CGGGTCTTGACCCCGTCGGCTGCTGTCCTGCTCTGGGTGGGAGCCTGGGCGTGGGGTAGCCTGGGCACCCTCCCTCTGGGTGCGGGGTCCTGGGAGTGACGTGACGGCAGCGCTGGCTCTCCTGGCTGCACTCTCAGGAGATGCAGCGGGGGGCCAGGGGACATGTGGCACTGGCTGCACAGGATGGGATTCGGTCCTTGGCTGCCCAGGGCCATGGGCGACAGGGTGCAGTGCAAGCCTGGGCTGACTGGTGCCCCGCAGACCGAGCAGAGCCACGTGGAGGAGGTCCGCCTGCGGCCGGTGGTGTCCGGGGCCCGGAAGCAGCTGCCTGTGACAGAGGGTATCGTGGAGGTGCGCTACAAGGATGGCTGGGCACAGATCTGCGACGAGGGCTGGGACAGCCAGAACAGTCGCGTCGTCTGTGGCATGATGGGCTTCCCTGCTGAGAAGAAGGTGAACAGGAACTTCTACAAGTAAGTGAGGCCAGCAGGGAGCCTGCGGGGCTGGGATGTCTGCAGGGCTGGGGCCATGGGGCTGGGGCAGAGCTGGGGACAGTGCCAGGGACACGGGGCAGTGCTGGGGGGACAGCCGGGGCCATGCTGTTGGGCGTTGTGGCTCCCCAGCATCCCTTCCATCCCAGTTGCTCGCCAGTCCTAGCACCAAGCTGGCCTTATGGGCACTCACTGACCAAGCCAGGGGGCCACGGCGCAGCTGGGGGGCCATGACTGCCCACCTGCGCTAAGCACTACTGCAGAGGCTGCTCCAAGAGGGCAGGTTTTACTCCTGGCAGTGGTGCACCTCCATATTTCCCTCCGTCACAGAGTGCGGGGGTCCCCACGCTGAGGTGCAGTTTGGAGCCGAGCCAGGCAGGGATGCTCCAGCAGCACCATGGCCCGAGCGAGGGGCGCAGGGCCGTGGGCGCAGACACGCTGCCCATGGTGTGGTGTCCGGCGCTGCACGTGCCCCTGACAGGGCAGCTGCGGGGTTGCTCCCGCAGGCGGTGGAAGCTTGCAGCCCGGATGAAGGGCCGGAGCCTGCGGCCAGGCAGCAGGTAAGGGGCCGGGGCGCCCCGTCTGCCGAGCCCTTCGCAGAGCCGGGCTGTCCGGCCCTGC